CCCCGGGCCACCATCACACCCGCGGCCAGCAAACCACGCCCATCCGCGCCAAGCCACGCCCACCACCCAAGCCATGCCCACCCTGAGTGCTGGCCCCGCCCCGTGCCTGCCGCGGCCGCGCCTGCGCGCTGGGGGTGATGGCGGCGGGCGCTCTCCGCGGGGTGGCTGCGGGGTGCGGGCGGGAGGGCGGCGCGACCTCCCCGGCCCGGCTGCGGCTGGCGGCGCGGCCCGCGCCCACTGAGCCGTGTTCCTCCCCCGCAGCCTCGGAGATGTCCAAGGACACGATGCCTGGGCCGTACCCGCGGACTCCGGAGGAGCGGGCGGCCGCTGCCAAGAAGTACAACATGCGTGTGGAGGACTACCAGCCGTACCCCGACGACGGCCTGGGGTGAGCTGCGTGGTGCCGCTGTTCCGCCGCCGGGAGCGGGCCGGGGCCGGTGGCTCCTGGCGTTGCGGGGCCGTGCTGTAGGCTCGTGGCTCCTGCTGAATGCCTGCCTTTGCTGTACTGTGAGCTTAGAGCTTTGAAGACACTTCAGTGTTCTAAAATAGGAACGAATGGAATGAGTTAGAGGCTTGTGTGAATTAAACACGAGAGACTTCGTGAGAGAAACTTGAGAGACTTCCTATGCTGTTGTATTGCAGGGCTAAGTGGGATGAACTTATAGCCATGTCTAGAATAAAGGTTTCATGAGATGTTTAAATGTTGGGGAATATTTGACATGTGTCAAGATAACTAGGTTTCCTTATTTTGGTTAAGCTTGCATTTTCTTTCATCTAGTAGGGCCCAATAAGGCCAGTTTGGGGAATGCCATTTGTTAAGGTGACTGGTGTCAAGGTAATTATTGTTGTGCTAGTTGTTTTAATGCATTTCAAAAATCTATATGCATAAAAGCTATAAAAGCAAAGTAGTATTTCATTCTATTTCCCTAGGCCTGTCTTATACTGTCTCTATATCTAAATAAGTACAGATTTCTTTATGTTTGGTCTTCTGTTTGTTTCTCATAGGTTTGGTGACTATCCCATGCTCCCGGATAAGTCTCAGTACGAGAGAGACCCCTGGTACCAGTGGGACCAGCCAGACATGAGGCACAACTGGGGGGAGCCGGTAGGAACACCAGTTCCACTTCTCAAGTTGCTCACCAATGCTTCTTTTATTAAATTCTAACATGCACTTCTTGTCAGTGCTTTCTGTTGAATCCTTTGTGTAATTTCATCACCAGTGCCAGTGTGTGTTGCCTGTGCAAGCAGGGACAGTTCAAGGCAGAGTTAGGCTTTGGCCATCTGGGTAAAAGTACCAAGGACAGTTAATTTATTACATATGAGAAGGGAGACTTAACAAACTTAACTTCCCCTGCAGGAGTAATTTTATTTGCCTGATAGGACTCAGTATGAGAGCCTGGTTCAGAATTGTTTAGCAAAGAAGCCACTGTTTGAATAAAGTCCTTTTAGTGCAATGGAAGAAGCTACTGTTGCTTTATTACTTCAGAGCTTTTTGAGGTAGACTACAAATAAGGACGTTCTCTCTTAAGGAAGTTTGCAACATGTCCATAAGATAAATGTGAATAGGTCATCTATGTTAACTTTGAATTTAACTTCAAAATCTAAGCTCCTCAAATTCCTTTCAGGAGTAGCTCTTCTCCTAGTGCATGGTCTTTTTGTGAATGACTGCAATCTGACTGCAGTTACTGAGCTTGGTAATTGACTTGTGATCTCTTTACCAAAATTAAGAGTTCATCCAAGTATGTGTGCTTAATATATCATAGTCTAACCACATCAGAGCATTTCAACATGTGTACCACAGCAAAGTGCATGTTGTAACGACTGTAAAAGCACATGAAAAAAAAAACCCATGTTGATTCTGTGTTGTTGTAGTGCTTGCTGCAGGAAGGCTTGTGTGCAAGCCCTTGTACATGGTGTTGGCAGTCAGGAACAAAGAGGGCTATGCTGGTGTTTTCCAGGTGTCAGCAGATGCCTCTGTTTAGGCAGCTTTGATTTCTGCTCATTCTGGCTCTGGGTTTGATAGGAAATGGCTCTGGGGGAGCTAGAGCTGGGAATCTGGAAGCAGTACTTAAGCTGCAAATTAATAAGTTCTCTGCATTTATTAATGTGAAAGGAGGCTATAAGCAGAACATGCTTGAGACTTTCCTATTTATAATTCAGGGCATTAGCTTGCTACCAGCCTTGCTCTTGTCCTGGAGTAACAGCATCAGTCCTCTCCCTGTTTTGAGGGACCAGCTTCCAAGTGTCAGGTAGTTGCTTCTTTGTTTGAAATAGCACTACTTCTGTTTGGGTATTTGACTGAGCTTCCATTAATGAGTGTTCCAATTTATACCATGACTTTCCAGTGGTCCTGGGGAACAAAGCTGAGGTGGAATCATATATTTAAGTATGTTGTGTGGTGTAAGCATAAGATGAAATGTAGAGTCTTTTGAGTTTTACTGTAAGCAACAATTGGTTGTGACTATAGGTGAACCATATACCTTCTCTGTGGCTTTACCTCTACATTTGAAGTGGAGATGAAGCAGCTTCTTGCAGTTTTGTGAATGTTGTAATGTGCTGCTTCCCTTAAGAGAAGCAGCTTGACCACATTGGTAAATGTGCAATTGTTTTGCTCTGTTCTTCAGATGCACTGGGATTTTGACATGTACATTCGGAACCGGGTTGATACATCCCCCACTGTTGTTCCCTGGCACACCATGAGCAAACACTTCCTTCTGTTTTTGAGCATAATGCTGATCATGTTTGGTGTTGGAGAGATCTACCCATCCTACAGGCCTGTGGTGAGTGAATCCTAAGGGTAAAGGGAGAAAACGTAGATGTATTTCTTGTCATTGCCAGTGATTGTCCTGTGGCCTCATCTAGCCTGAGTTGTTCTCTTGGCTGGCCTGGCTCAGCTCACAGATGCTGCTTCATAGTGTGCAGTGTCTGTTGACAGGGAACTAATTTGAACTACGCTTCTTACAGTATCCCATCTTTGGTCTAGGTATTTTCCTTCCCTGTGTGTGCATCTACTCAAGTCAGATGCTTTAACTCTTCTTTTGCCCTGTGTTTTTAATTATATCTCATGAGTTTTATCATTTGGGAAATGTACTCTTGAAAAAATGTGTCTAAATACACATGCAGCTTTTGCAATACATTGTCCTCATGCTGTGAGATAAAATGTTGATTAAGATTAAAAGCAAGACCACCTTGATGTTTCCATTAAAAATCATTTATGCAAGGAACCCCACATTTCTGAATTTACTTTCCTCTAATATACTAGCTGAAGCACTTAAGAAAAAGAAATTTAGGTAATAAATTACAAGCCCTCATTTGGGTGAGGGTGGGATGGGATGAGACATTTTTGTCTTGGCCCTTAATTTGGTTGGTGAATGTGGTGAATTGCCATTCTTTGTCTCTCCTTGTAGGGACCGAAGCAATATCCCTTCAATGACCTGTATCTGGAGAAAGGAGGAGACCCCAATAAAAAGCCACCAGCGGTGATACACTATGAAATTTGAAAGTTGTTCAAGTGCTACATTTCCGTCAGTTCTCCTGGGGAAGAAATCTTGTCTGGTGTTCACTGGCATATGTCAACACTTGTTCTTCAATGTTCAGCTGCTAACTGCAGTGAAATATATCAATGACACCTACTGTGCTACTTGTCTTCTGTTGGTTTGAGAAGGCTGAGTTACAGCTAATGAAATGGAGTGACCCTTTGCCATTTTTCTAAATGGGATGGTATCTATGGGGCAAAATTGTGAGTGCAGACCTAGGACTGCTGGTCATTTATGTATCTTGTGCACAAACATTCCTCACCTGTGCCTGTTTATGTAGGCAATACTGCCTCTAACCAAGACATGTCATGCAGGTGCTGCTGGGAGTTGGAGTGTCACTGTATACTGTAAAATGACAGGCAGAAACAGATTGGCAAGTGCCAGTCTTTGGGAGTCTTGTACTGTGTCTGCCCTTAGTGGGAGTTGGCTTTGATCTCTTCCAGGTCTAGATGCCCTCTCAAGTGAAGTTTGCATAACCAGTAGGAAGCACTTGTGAGGCACAGAGCCTTGCAGTGTGTAGCTTGAAGCTGACAGCAGCAGTATGAAAAGGCTAATGAGCAAGTTCTGCTCTAGCCAGATCTGCTTTGATACAAATGTACAGGTGCTCATAATTGTTCCTTATGGCCTGAGTTCATCCACCTAGCCTGGAGTTTCATCTGACCCATGAAGTCTGCCTCTTTTGCTGCAAACCACTGGTCTTGGACCTCCTATTGCTTCAGCAACAGTTTTCTTGGGAAAGTTATACATACAGTTATATTAGGCTCCTAAATTTGTCCAGCTCCACTCTAACATGAGGGTTTTTTCCTCTTGTTGCTGGAGGAGACTACCTTTAGTACTAATTTACAGTGAATCTTCTCTCAGCTCTGCTGTGCTATGCTGTAACCCTACTGTTCAGTTGCAGGAGTGGGTGATCACAGAAAGCTGAAGGCTTGGGCTGCTCTAGGTGCTTCCTGTAAACTGGGTGCTGTGCCCTGCTCTCAGCACCCTTCACAGCTCATAGTTTTGTGCTTTAAGAGAAGCAGGTATATACAGACAGTGATTCATGGTTTTTCCATCTGTATTAAACCCCATCAGATTTTAAACCCCAAATTCTAAAGAGACTGTTAGCTTAGTTTTTAAGGAGTTATGTGAAAGGAAATTATGGGATTGAATGCTAGGACATAGTTTTATTTGCAGACATACAGACAGTGATTCATGGTTTTTCCATCTGTGCACAGATTTTAAACCCCAAATTGTAAAGCGATTGTTAGCTTAGTTTTTGTGTAGGGGTTTTTATCAGGATTTATGTTAAAGGAAATTATGGGATCAAATGCTAGAACATAGTTTTATTTGCACTTAAATATTTATAACTCCTTTGGAGGTGCTGAAGAATCAACATTCCTCATAGCTTTTGTTAGCTATCACCTCTTCTTGTTGCCCCCGACCCGCCCGGCCCGGCCCGCGGCCCTCGCACACCGAGCCGGGCTGGCCTGCCCGCCGCGCCCCCGTCCCCCAGCCCAGGGCTGCTGTGCCGCCCTGTCTGCCTCGCTGTCCGGGCTCCGCTCCCAGGTCCCGTGGCCCGTCCTTGCCCCGGCAGCCTCGCCTCCTCTGTCCCGTCTCTCCTCCGCCGGCCGGCTGGCGGCGGGCGGGGAGCGGCCGGCGGATGGCGGCTGTGTGACCTGGGCCGCGGGGAGGCCTCTGGCGTAGCCTGTGTCTGACACCCGGTGTCCGAGGTCAGGGCTTTCCTCCTAGACCCCCGCTCTTTCTCACTGTCCCACGGGGTAATGCTGTTGTGCGGACAAGCACATTGAGACGTGTGTGCACTGTGTCTGAGCAGCGCTGTGCAGTGGGCAACAGCTTCTGGAACTGCGCAGAGCACAAGAAGTTTCTTTATATACCACTGGAGCTGTCATGGAGGAATGTGCTGAGCCCTGCCCTGCAACAACCCCACCTTGCACACACCAGTGATTAGCTGAGATTAGCTGAGTGTGTCTCTGCCTTCTGTAATCGGGGTTTATAATAAGCACATACGAGAACAGCCTGGCTGTGGGCTGTTGGGGAGCTGCAGCAGGAGCATGTCATGTCAGAACAGTGCAAATGGAAGGGGCAGAACAGAGATTTGAAATCATCACTGGGATGTGGAAACTGTAGGAGCAGTTTGTGTCTTAACCATTGTGTCATAGCTGGGGGTGTTTTTTCAGGTCTTGGCGTGTCTACTTGTCACCTGGGTGACCTTGGACAAATCTTTTTTGTTCTGCCCAAGTTTCACTTTTTAGCTAAGTGTGGGGAGATCAGCCTATCAGGTCCTTTGTGTGCACTGCTGGAAGTCCAGTATCAGTAGGAATAGAGAGGAATGATTGGGTGTCCAGTGGCAGGAGGAGGACTGGGAAAATCAGTGGGAGGGGATTTCTGATTGACAGTGTTTGGGTGGTGCAAGAGAGAGAAGGCCTCACTAGAGTGCTATCAGGGATAATTATTATGACAGGTTTGAGGGTCAATTAGCTCATACAACAATCACGGTCTTATTATAGGGTACTGTAAAGCCATAAGTATTTCAGGTTAGGAAAGCTGAGAAATTTTTGCCTCTTGAGAGCATTGTTTGCATGGTCTAATGTAATTTGGGAATCTTCACTGTTTAGCTGTGTGCTCTCTATTTCTCAGTGGTGAGCTGTGCTCTGACCTGTCAGGTTTTGCTTTGCGGGCATTCTTACCCTTTAAGGTCTGTGCAGGAAGCCATGGCTGAGGAAAGCTGTGGGGAATTGCTGCTTCTGTCCACTCCCTTTGGGGCTGAGATTCATTAATCTATTAGATCTGTAATCGGATGGATGTCTGTAGAAGAAGGGTGAGGAATTGTCATGATTAATTAATTAGAAGTCCTGAGAAAAGCATGGGCTTTCTTGGAAGTCTTAGATGCTGTTTTGAGAGATGACAGCAGGTGGCAACCTCTCCCTAAAAATTCTGCTGTGGAAGAGTTCAATACTTGCAAATTTTTCTCAAGCAGACAGAAGAGTTTGCTAAAGAAGGGTTTTTTCCTTCTTTAAGGATTATGAGTCCTCTCCTGGATACAGATATGCATAGTGTATAGAAGGATCACTTCTCTAAAAGTAAGACTCAAATCAGGCATTTTTTTTCCCTTTCAAACTCAGCTCACTGACCTAAGGAGGGGGTGCTGCTCTATCTCTGCAGATCCTCAGCTGCACTGGAGCTGCACTGCTCAGACGTTCTGGAGAGACAGTGTGATACATGCATCCCCTGTGAGCCTCCTCAAGTCTGCTGGAGCCACTGCTGTTTGCCTTTACGGCCAGGGACACAGTGAACCTCTTCAGTACTATGATCCAGCCCTCTGCAGTTGTTCTGTTGACACTGAGCCACTCTAAATGGAGTGTTGTTTGCTTTCCTCCATTTGGGTGGGTTACCATGACCAAGACACTTTACCTTCACATTCTGTCCTGACTTAAGTTTGTGACAAGAGAACACTAATGTTCCAGTAATTGACTTTCTATGTAAAATGCTCTATTGACAAGAAAAGCCAAACAATTGATCAATACTGTTCCACACAATTTTTGCAGCTTATCTTTATTTGCCCATTAAATGTAAATTATTTCAGCCATGCAGTCAGTCCAGCCCAGAGGTAAGGAGGGGGAGCTTGTGCCATTTACCCAACTAATTTTGTGATAGTTTTATTCTTCACTGAGCCCTTACCAATTAATTTCCTGTAGGGAAGAGGTCTCTTGGCCATTGTCTATTAATGTTCACAGGGAAGTTGTCCTCTCAAAAGCCAAGAAGCAGTGAGGCCTGAGTGTACAGCCAGCTCCTACAACTGATAGATTGTAATTGGAGGAGGAGGAGGCCAGAAAGGGACTTGTAAGGAACATACCAGCTGTCCTGTCCCCCATAGTGGGGGAGTCATCTAGAGCCTTGTGCAATACTGTTGCCAGAAGATTCACCTAAGTTCTGTGGATATTTTCACTTGCCTCCTCCAGTGAAGGAAGAAGACCTGGACAGGGTTTCTGCAGTAGTATGGGAGTCATGAGTAGGTACTGGAACATCTTGATAGATGCACCACAGAGAAAGTGTGGTGGACCCCTGATGCGTACCCCACAAATTGTGTACTGGAAGATTGGAAAGTAATCTTTTGAGATTTGTTATGGTAATGAGATGACCTTTCCACCTCTATTCATAGGGGGCATGAAGAAGTAGTTGCACTTTTTTTAATTGTACGAGAGTTCTGTTCAGATTCTGTTGGGCCTTAACTAAGTTGGGATAAGCTTAATGTGTGAATAGCAGTTGGAAGTTTGAGCTTTGGGAGATACTGCTGCAGAGTAATGCTAAAAAGCATTAAATAGATTCTAGCCAATCAGCATATCCTAATAGTGCATGGGGGAGAGAGAGAGGATGTCCTTAACTTCTGACCGGTGGGGCAGAAGAAACCCTAAAAAGAGGTGTAGAATTCTTAGCTGGGAGGTCCAAGCCCAAGAAGTAATGCTGACCAAACTTCCCCCTTGTGTGGGCCCCGGGAGGCCACAGTTTCTTATAAGCCCTGTATCTGAACAGAGGGCCATGTGATGCAGGTTGTGGTTTACACAAACAGTGTCAAGTAACCCGGAGAGGTTAATCACAGCAAACTGACAAGATGCAGAGGGTTTTGCTGTGCTGCCTGCTGACAGTTTTACTTTATTCAGCAAGATATCATCTCAGCATACAGTTCTGTTTAGCTAGAGTTAAAAGACTGCAGTGCAGCCAAGCTCGAAAATTTAGGCACTGCTCATGAGAGTGACCCCACCAGCCTGTGAATGTCCACACATCATTTATGATGCTTAGAGGGCCTGTTTGTGCTCAGGAATGGAGCACAGGGTGCTTTCTTCTTAGTAAGAATGGGATCCTACTCACAACAGTAATTATTTGTACAGTATTCAGTTGTTTTTATATTCAGTTTTGCAGCCTCCCCCCTGCCTGCTGTTGATGTTTGATTTTTCAATTAACCTGCTACATTGTTGCCCAACTAATCTCTCCAGAGGCATGGGGAAATTTTGTTCCCGTTTTACAGGTGTCCCTAGATCTGTCCTGAGTAGAGTTGCTGTCAGTGCTGAGATTGAAACCCAGTAGTTACTTGTGGATTACTTCTTCTCACCTTCTGCCATTTGCTGGCTCAAACAGAAAGTCAAATGATTTTTTTTTCTTTTGTTTTTTAGAGGAGCAAGAACAAAGTACATTAACTGAATTGGCACACAATAGCATTGCACTTTGTTTTCTGTTGCCACGTCACTTTTCTGCTTGGAATTTAGCCTGCCCTGAGATTCCTTCTGCTCCCTTTTTGCTTATGTATATACTGACATTAGCTTGTTTGGAGAGAGCAACTAGTGCTAGATCCAAATACATTTGTTTAAATTAATTTCTGCAGCTGATTTAAACCAGCCTGCAGTGAAGACTTGAGTATGTTAATTTAGATCCCCTGCTTTTTTCTGAAACTCCGGTAATTGGGACATACGAAAAAGAGAGCTATATATGAAACAAAATTTGGGGTCAGTGGGATTTGGGGGGGGGGGGGGGGGGGGGGGGGGTT